CAAAATGTTTCTGGACCATGTTTAAGTTAACCCAAATATTCTTCAGGGAAAAAGTGCAAATAACAAAACTTTTTTTTGTGTGTGAAGATTCCAATAGTTCATATTTGGTGTTCATATTGTTTTAAATATTTTTTTTACCAATTGTTATCACAATATCATGACAATCTATAAACAATGTCCATCATTCACAGCAAATGTTCCATTAGTTCGAATGAAGTGTTCTATCAATTAAGCAGCTGTTTCCTTACTAATTTGGGGGAAATGTTCTAGCATAAAAAAAGTGTTAGCTACTTTATATTATAAAGTCACTGGTGAATCAGAAATTGACACATGCAATATAAATAAGCTACTACTACAACTAAATATTAAAGCTGCCATAATAAAAAATAAACTGAAATATGCCTAATGTGAACTGACGAGGAAAGGTGGGTAATATATTCACACTTTAGTAGTTACATATTGCTGTAGTGCCAACTCATGTTTGTGTTCATTCATTTGTTGTATTTCAAGTTTGTTGTTGATCTTGCCTGTTGTTTGTACATCAGAATCGGGGTTATCTCGACAGGGAACAGTGCATATCATTGCTTAATGAGCTGAACAAGTACAGGTAGCCGAAGTCCCCTCATACATTACACTGTATGTTTGTATCAAAGCACTTTCTACATTATTTTTTCATCAGTAAGTCTTTTTGATGATCTTTAATTTTTTTCTCTTGAGAAAACTCAAGCCTTGCGGGTGCATTGATAGAAAGAAGAGTTTGTACAAGACCTTTAGTTGGGAGGCGATCCATGATCCTGTTGACCAAGGGCTAGAGCACCACACTCGAGGGCTTCTTGAGCCCTAGGGGAGGTAGCAGACTACATAACCTATGCTGCCTCAAGGGCCTCCTCCTCCGAACAACCGATGGGGGACACTGAGCACTTGGCATAGTTGGTGTGCAACCCCTATGCATGCCCGAAGAGCGCAAGCAAGTTGCGAACGATAGAACGCTCCCCCATACCCAGGAGGCAGAAGATGAAGACTTTGTCTGCATAAAACGATACAGTAATTATCAGGTCGCGGGGCGCAAAGCCAAGGAGCAACCCGAACTCTCTGGCCCTAGCAAACAACCTGTTGAGAGCATCAATCACCAACACAAACAACATTGGGGAGAGTGTCTTGCCCTGATGCAGGCCCTTGCGGTGCCAAACCGAAGGCCCCGGTTCGCCGTTGAGCATCACTCGTGCTACTTGAGTGTACAGGAGGATGTCAATCCACTCACGGAAGCGTGGGCCAAAACCTATCCCGCGAAGCACTTTGAAGCGAAGAGCCCACAACCCAAAACACTGAATCGAACGCATGGACGGTATCCAGCTTTAGCATGGCTCATGGCTCACCCAGCCGCTGCAAATATCTCGCCATTTGCTGAACAAACATGAAATTATCATGAATGCAACATTTCCTGATGAACACGCACTGTTTCTCCTCAACCAGCGCCCCTAGCCTCGGCGACAGCTGGGTGGCTAGCTTCTTTGCCACCAGCTTGGCAAAGATGTGGATGAGACTAATGGGGCGGTAGTCTCCAAGGGATAACATAAACATAGGTAGGCGGTAGTCTCGGCGAGAACACTTATGTTTCTAGGCACCGCGGGTGGTGCTGCAGGCCGCGGCGGGCGAGTCGCTCCGCGGTCCAGCAGCGGTCCTGGCATGCCAGCCAGTGGAAGAACTTCACTTTGGGTGGCGCCCAGCTCCTCCAAATGAGCTTCCAAGAGTGGCAGCCCGTTGCTCCCTGAAACGTTGCCCTGTAGCAGGACTGGGCAGAGTATGCGCCATTGGCAGTCCAACTCCAAAGCAACTTGTCCGGCGCGTTGGACAACTCGACCTGCTGCACCAAGTGCCATGGCTGCAGGTACTCACCAATCTCTGGAAGGCCGAGCAGACCTTGAATATCCCGCGCCCAACGATTGCCGTCCAAGGCCTCCGCCACAGTTCGCGATTTCCGGCGATGCTTGGGGATGCACTGAAGGAGCAAGGTTGCGGACGGATTGGCCGCCGAGCCAGCGATCCTCCCAGAACAGGGCGGTCCTGCCGTCCCCAATGGCCATGGTCGTGGAAGCGTAAAAGAGTGCGCGCTCCTCCGAAGTGAATTGCAGGTCCAGCCCATGCCATGCTCGCTCAGCGTCTGTGCGCGCGAGCCATAGCCAGCGCAGCCGTAACGAGAGCCCCGTGCGCTCCAGGTCTCGGACGCCAAGGCCGCCATAATCGAGCGGGCGGCAGACCCGGCGCCAGTTCACGTGGCAGTGGCCACCGTGGGCATCAGCTCGGCCGGCCCAAAGGAACCCACGTTGGATCTTCTCGAGCTGCTTAAGGATTTTCTTCGGTGGCAAGAGTGCGAGCAGCTGATGAATCGGGATCGTGCTGAGGACCGACTTGACGAGCACCAGCCGTCCGGCGTTGTTCATCAGCCATGCCTTCCATGAAGGGAGTTGGCCGGCCACCGCGTCGACGAGGGGCTGCAGCTGGGCCGCAGAGGGGCGGCGGATGATGAGCGGAATGCCTAGATAGGTGACCGGCAGGGTCACGACCGGGCACCCAAGCAGCTTCAATAGCCCCGTCGTCGACTCATCGCCGTGTATCACCGTGGCAGAACTCTTGGTATAGTTCACCCGGAGCCCGGACGCCATGCCGAACACGTCAAGGATGCCTTTGACGGCGGAAATCTCCTCGGCATTAGCATGGCAAAAGAGCATCACGTCGTCGGCGTAGAGAGAGATTGCCGGGATGGCGCGCCGGGGGTGCAGCTGCTGGAGGATGCCCGTCTGGAGGGCGCGACGCATCAGCCTCCCAAGTGTGTCCACCGCGAGCACGAAGAGTTGCGGGGAGGTGGAGTCGCCTTGTCTCAGACCGCGGCGATGCCAGATTGGCGGGCCGGGAACACCGTTGAGCATGACACGGGTGCTCGCCGAGGACAGCAAAATGGCCAGCCACTCTCTGAATCTGTCCCCAAATCCATACTGGCGCAGCACCTCGAAGAGGAAGGGCCAGGAGATGGAGTCAAAGGCACGCGTGAGGTCGAGCTTAAGCATGATCCTGGGCGCCCCAGTTGACGCAGCATCTTGAGGGATTGCCGGACGAGAATGAAGTTGTCGTGAAGACTCCGCCCGGCGATGAACGCGTTTTGGTTGCGGCTGACAAGGGTGTCGAGCTTGGGAGCTAGGCGCAAGGACAGGACCTTCGCGAAGATCTTGGCCACGATGTGGATGAGGCATATCGGCCGATAGTCGCCGAGCTTGTGGGCATCTGCTCGTTTGGGCAGCAGGGTCAACAACGCTTGGTTGAGCTTACTGAACCTGCGCCCTCGCAGAGCGTAGAGCAGCTCGAAAACGTCCCAGACATCCTGCCGGATGATGCTCCAGCAAGCGCGCAGGAACTCCGCGGTGAAGCCGTCTGGCCCAGGCGCTTTGCGCGCCGGCATCCGCTTGACTCCCTCCCAAATCTCCTCCTGGCAGAAGGGCGCATCGAGGCATTCGAGGTCACTTGGGGCGATGAGCTGGGAAAGGTCCAGCGTGCGTTCCCGGTCAACGGCGGTGCCCAGCAAGCCATCGAAATGCATGAAAGCAGCGTTTGCCATCTCCTCGTGGCCAGAGAGCACCTGCCCGTCCACCACAAGGTTGTGCACACGGTTTTTCTGCCGGCGGAAGGAGCATTGCCGGTGGAAAAAACTCGTGTTGGCGTCGCCGTCTTTGAGAGACGCGATGCGGGCGCGCTGCCTAGCGATCGTGCGCTCCATGGAGGCCATGCCGAGATAGGTGAGCTTGAGCTATTTGCGCAGCCACTCCTCCGGAGGCGAGAGCGCTCGGTCCTCCCGCGACTTGTCGAAGCGCAAGATCAGCTCACGGGATATGGCCAGCTTGTCCCGAATGTTGCCCGTGGATTTGGCGCTCCAACTCGAGAGGCGGCGCGCAGTGGCCTGGAGGCGTTTGACCAGCCGCCGAAAGGGGTCGTCGTCGTGCACCGAGCCCCAGGCCACGGCCACGGTGTCGTGGAAGCCGTCCAGCCGGAGCCAGTAGTCCTCGAAGTGGAAGCGTTTGTGAGCCGACGGCATGGGAGAGCAATCCAACAGCAATGGGCAGTGATCCGACACCACCGAAGCAAGGCATCGGAGGTGACATTCGCCGTGCGCATCTTCCCAATCCGAGGTGCACAGAACGCGGTCCAGGTGCACCATCGTGGGTGGCGATTGCTCGTTCGACCAAGTGAAGCGACGCCCATTGAGGTAGATCTCCTTTAGGGCGAGGTCGTTGATGGCGCGGCGAAATCTGCCCATCATGCGCTGATGCAGGCCACCCATGTTTTTGTCCTTGTCGCGGTATATGAGATTAAAATCACCGCAGAGCATCCACGGACCGGGGCATGCCGCACGGATGTCGCGCAGCTCCTGAAGGAACAGGATTTTATCAGCGTCGTCCTGTGGTCCATAGACCGTCGTCAGCCACCACGGCGTCCCGGAAGCCACGGACACTTTCGTCGTGAGCGCGTTCTGGGTGAGCAGGGGGTCCGTAGACCGAGACAGCCCTGCTCTTCCAGGCGAGGAGGATGCCGCCTCGTGTGCCATCAGCCGGGAGGTACGTGTAGTCGTCGAACTCGGAGCCGAGGATGTCAAGCACGATGGACGAGTAGATCAAAGCCATTTTAGTTTCCTGTAGGCATACAGTAGAGGCGCCGGTAGTACCCAACAAAGAGCGAATGGCAGTGCGCCGGGCGCGCGAGTTGAGTCCGTGAACGTTCCAAACAGCGATCTTAAGTCCGTGATCCATGAGCAAGGGGTCGACGGTGAGCGTGCCGGCAGGTCTAGCACAAGCTGGCAACGGCCTCGCGCGCGGGGGACGTGAAGCATGCTGGGATCACCCGGTCGACCAGGGCGGCGATGGCCTTGAGCACAGACATGGGGATTGGCGCCGCAAACATGTCGTCGTAGGCTTTCATCTCAACTGCTGTGATCTTCTGGTTGATGCCCACAATCCCCAGGGTGCGCAGGATCTGCACATGGGCCCTCCGTTCTGCTGTCGGCGGCGCCACCGCAGTCGTGGCGGCAACCGCGGAACGGCCTCGCCGAGGGGCAAAGTTGAGGGGGCGACGTGGCCTCTTTCCAGGAGTAGGCAGCGACGCGCTGATGTGCTTCGTGGCGGCAGCAAGAAACTCGCCAAGCGTCCAGGCCTGCGGCGTGGTCACACGACTGCGAGATCGTCGCATCGTGATTGGCGGCGATGCGAACCGCCCAGGTGCCGGAGAGCGTGGGCTGCGACCCGACGGGCGGCGATCGGCGTTGGGCGCGGGCGGGAAGAAACCCGGGGGCCGCTGCATAAGGGTTGGGCTCGGGGCCACCGCATCCAGCGATCCAGCGGCTGGCGGACCAGCGGCCGCCCCAAGCGGCAGCAGTGTGGGAGACGTGGGCTCGGTATCGGGCGGCCCAGCTCTATTTGGCCCAGCATCAGCAACGGGGGAGGCCTCTGGCGCGTGCGCGAGAACGGGTGGGGCGGGAACCGGTGTGCCCTCTCCCGCCGAAATCGCCGGTGTGGGGCCAAGGGGCAACGTAGACCGGTCAGCGGCGGCTCCTGGACCCGCCGGGGCGACAAGAGTGGGCGAGATGCCACTTTGCCCCGACAAGGCGGCAGGCGATCCTGGCCTCTCTGATCCCTCTGGCGCCATGGGCTGGGAGTCTGGGACCTGGCATTGCTAATCCCGACAAGGCATTGGATTAGCCGCGGCAGGAGCGGGCCCCGCGGAATCGTCCTCGGGATCATGGGGAGAGCCCGGGTTTGAAATTCCTTGGCCTTCCGATGCGCCAGCCACCAGTGGGAGCTCGCCAGCTGGCGCCTGCGCAGCCGTCCTGGCGCTGTCAGCGGTAGCGGCAGCTGCCTGCGTCTGGCCTGTCGCCAAAGTCTGCTGGCGCGGGCCCCTTCTTCCCCCTTTCTTTTCTCTTTTAGCACGACGACGAGAGTGCGTGGGGCCATGCTGACCTGGCCACGACATCATGGCATCCCTCAACGGCCGGGCGGGCGGCGCCACCGCCGCCGACGCCGGCTGAGGCCAGGAGGTTGCCGTGTTCAGCCCGTCGGTCCGCCCCGAGCGGTCGCAGGCGCGCCATGCATGCGCGTCCATGGCCATGCCGTTGGCTCGGCCGCCCGGTGCAGCATCAGTTCTTCTGCGCTTTCTGCCACGGCGTCGCGCCCGTCCGGGCCGGGGCCTTGGCCTTGGCCGTGCCCGTAGCCAGCGCCGCCCCGGCCGGGGTCGTCGTTGCCCTGAACACCGGGCGGGAGCGCCTGGAGTGGGGTGGTGCGCACGAGTGCAATGGAGATGGGGTACATGAGTGTCCTGATCTCCGGCGCCTCTGAGGGGACGCGAGCTGGCAGCAATTCGACAATCTCTAGAATGGCGGCCAGGCGGATGTCGGCTGGATCATGCACGCGGCCAGACAAGCGGAAGACCGCCAGGTTCTCACGAGAACGCGTGCGAGGATGCAGCCTCTCAATCCAGCAGCTCTCCCCGAGGATGTGCTCGGCGGTGGAGAGATGCCAGGCTTGGGCGGGGATGCCGCGGAGCTCGAGCTCGATGGCGGTGTTCGAACCCGCCAGCGCCAGTGTGCGCCAGCTTGCACCATGGCCTCAGCGACAGAGCGAACCGAGGCGAGCTGATGAAGTGCTCGCCATTAAGACGACGCATGGTGTCCAGGGAGGAGAAGAAGATGAGGAAGTCCTCGGGGTGGTGCTCGTGCACGGTGAAGTCGCCTTCGGAGAGCGAGAGAGAGCGGAGGAGCAGCTCGGCCACCTCGGCCGCGGCCACCTGCGGCCTGTTGCCGGTGATGGAGGCCACCATGGCGCGGCCAAGAACCCGCTCGGACTCCTCCATCTCCGTGGACTGCGCCATGATGACCCGCACAGGCGCGTCAGGGCGCGGCAGTGGGGCGGTGGCCAGTGGCGGCGTGGCGACGCATGGGAGGGGGCGGCGCTGGGCCGTCACGGCCAGGGGTGTCACGGCGTGGGCGCGTGCCGTCGTTGCGCCGCATGTCGCAGTCACGAGACTCATGGCCCGAGGTGAGGCAGCGCCTGCACCGGACGTCGTTGGTGCAGTCGTGCACCCTGTGGCGGTGGTCGAGGCAGCGAAAGCACAGCCCAGCCACCTCCTCCGGAGACGGGCTGCGACGGCAAGGAGGCGATGGGCTGGGGGTGCCATCCTGGCTCGGCCGGCGGCAGCGGCGGTTCTTGCGCCGCGGCTGCTGGAACCCCTCGGCGTCGAGCACGGCTCCGCCAGAGATGCGGTGGACCTCCGAGCGGGGGCCGAGGCGCTGCCTGGCGGGCACGCGGGAGGCCGGCGCAGTGCGGCCAGGGCCCCTCGCAGCCGGCGACTCCGCCGGGGCCGGTGGGGTGAGGGCGACGTCCCTGTAGGAGCGCGTCGAGGACTCGCTCTCTGAGCTGAGCTAGCGGTCGCCAGAGGACACGCGCTCGCCGGAGAGGGTCGCTCAACGGTCGGTAGGGGCGGCACCGGTGGATTCCATGACAGGGAGGCAGGGGAAGGGGGCTAAGGGAGCTAGGAGGCCGGCGGCGGCCAGTTGACTTTATCGTAAGCCTTTTTGAAGTCCACTTTAAAAATAACTCCGTTGAGTTTCTTGGAGTGGAGTTCGTGAATAGTTTCGTGTAGGACAACCACTCCCTCCAGAATGTGTCGTCCGTGCACGAAGGCTGTTTGCGCTGGTCGAACAACAGAATGAACAATAGTTAATACCCTATTAGTTCGAACTTCCGTAAAAGATCTAAAGCTTACGTTCATCAAACAGTTTGGCCTAAAATACTTAGTTCGCACCGCATCCTCCTTTTTTTGGAAGCAACGTGATAATACCAAAGTTGAGACGAAACAAGTATTGAGATATTTTCATATTCTTTTGTTGCTAGCTCCTCTGCCAGCTATGGCTATCACATAACTTATTTCACTTTTGTAGGTCCTTACCAAAAACCTCAAGGGAAGATTTTGAATTAATTTTTGCCGAGCTTGATCGAAGTGGTGATTTCAAGGTATGTGTTCTTCTTATGTTCAGTTGGCATGTTTTGCTTTGTGAAGTCAGCAAGTACATAATATTGTTAGTATTGTGTTGAAGAAAGAATGACATATTCATAATGTTGCTTGCTCCAACTGATGGTACATGCAAATACAAGAGTTGGCGCAGAAATAATTTTGCAATCTGAATTTAGAGTTTCTGTTAAGATTTACAAATGCCTGAACCTTGGTCAATAGTTGCAAGGAACTGAGCTTAGCTTTGTTGGTGGGAGGCGGGGGTGTACTCCCTCACCGCCCATGTCTGAGTCCTCTTCAACTCAGATTTTGGTGCCTATTTGTTCTAATTTATTTATCTTGTCCAGGTTACCTCCGAAGAATTTGCTGACCTATGCAATACCATTGCAATAAAATTTCAGAAAGAACCACCGGTATATTGTTCTTACTTTGGCATTCATGATCCCATACATTTTCCGTGTTACAAAAATGATGCGGTTACTGATGTACACCTTTGGCTGTTAATTTTAATATAGTATTTCAGTAAAAGTTCTAGAACTGCAATTGAAGAATAGCAATTAGACTTTAAGCATAATCTGCCTGTTGTGGAAATATATGAACGGTGAAAATTTGAAAGGTTTGATTAGCAAGGATATAAATTTATTTTGTACCAGGGGTAGTAATACTTTGAAATTTAAATATATATTTATTTTATGTTAATACCGTGTTACTGTAACCAACATTCTGAATTATTTGACTCAGTGTTGTACACATGTTTGCAGCCGTCTTATCTGGAAAAGTTCCCATTCTACCATTCACCACTTTGTGGGAGGTTGAAATCTTTTGTGCGGAGCCGGGTGTTTGAGTTCATTATTATTTTCGTTCTTCTGGTAAACCTAGTTGCCGTCATTATCGAAACAACGGTATGAAATCTTTTACATTTACAATTTTTAGAATCGACAGTTGTATAAATGCTATACTTGGTGGTGTGATATGATGATTGACCAATAAATATGATATATGATCTATGATGGGCGTATATCTGATAGGTAGAACCATAATATTTTCAATTCTCGCAACTTATGCACCGAAGTTTTGTGAAAAAGAAAGATCAATGCTCTTTGTCCAATATAGTAAAAGAAAAAACAATTCTTCACATTAGTTGGGAGCAAGTGTTTGCAGCATTATTCATTAACTACGGTGTCCAAATTGGAATATTTTTTTGTTAGAAATGATGAACTTATGAGAAGAAGCCTGATTTGTTAACAACGGTATTAATTAAAAATTGGCACGACATGAGCTTTGTTAATTATAGGACTTTGGGTATTTTGTAAGTGAAAAGGTTATAACTGTTGGGAGTCCTATTTGTGAGCAAAAATAATAATCGAAATGAAGTTTGAAGTAGCTATTTTTTCTTCATTTCTTATTGTCCGCTCTCGTGTGCATGTTTGCTAAGTGATGAATAGTTGGTAGCATAAATGTTTGCAACCCACCATCCTCTTACAACTAAAAATCAAAACAATTGAACTTACAATTGCAAACTATCCCTGACAATCTCTTTGCTAATGTGATATTTGCAGCTTGATATAGAAAACAGCTCCTCACAGGAAACGTGGCAGGAAGTAGAGTTCTTTCTTGGTAAGGATCTTGTGGTGACATTGTTTCAACAGTTCTATGTAAGCAGCATTATGATTTTATCTGATGAATTTATACCTAATATAACTTCCGCTGGGGAAGTATATCATGTCCTAGAAAGGACGCTGTCAAATGTTTCTCTGACGTTGACTATTAATATATTGAAATTGGATAGGTGAAAATAATACCATTAGATCTATCGTGAAGAATATTACCGCAATAGCATGATTTTATTTTTTTCTCTGACATATTTATATGAAAAGTAATGGTAGAAGTTGCACAATGGAGACCGTGCCTATGTCCAAAGTGTCATTTATTTCCGAATAAAAGGTGTACATTATCTGATTCCAACATACTTGAATAACATATATTATCATCTTGTTGGCTTCCAAAACCATCTCAACCTTTTTCCCTTTTATAGCAGTTTCTTTTCCAGGTAGAATGCCATATGTAAGCATCTTTGTGTTGCTCCAAGTTTAGGCTGTAATGGTGTTCTACATAATTCATATGGAAGCATGTTTAGTCACAAATTCACAATGGGTGTAAGGTTCAAAACGAGCAGAACTTGAGCAAGCCATTTTTATCCCGGTGGAATGTCATACTTAAGCATCTTTGTGTTGCTCCAAGTTTAGGCTGTAATGGTGTACTGCATGATTCATATCGAACCTTGGTTAGTCACACTGGTTGTAAGGTACAAAACGAGCAGAACTTGAGCAAGTTATATATTGGAATATCAGAATTTAAACGAATCAATATCGTAGTTGTATCATATATTCAAGTGATGTGTTCTCAAAAGTAAATTAAGTTATGAAAGATGAACTCGTTCTAGAGGTCACCTCTTTTAGTAGAACTTTAGTGCATTAATGCCCAGAGCATATGCTAGCAGTGGCCTAAAAAGTGTGGCAGTACATATTAGCCTTAGCTTGTATTCTGCAGAATCACACTTCCCCGCCACATTTGCTTGGTGCATGTGTTGCACGGCAACACTTGGACTTCACATCACACTTCTTTCATTATTGTCCCCTTTCGTCTTTCCTGTTGGCACCTCACCAGTCAGTTAACATATTTTATTGATGTTTTTTTCATCTTCCTGGAAAATTTATATTGAGATGTTAATCGAAGTAATATTTTGCAGGATGGATTTATGTAGCCGAGATGGCACTGAAAATATTTTCATTAGGATTTGGTGCTTATTGGATGGAAGGCCAAAACAAATTTGATTTTGTGCTTACTTGGACTATATGTAAGTTTATCACACGTTCTCTTCGAGGAAATTTTATTCGGTTTCTTCTATCGATACCTTTTATCTTGTATTGTTAAGAAAAACATCTGCACTAAGAATATTTTGGTTCAAACGGGAGGAATCAGATCCTTTTCACAACTCTATAGGATTCATAAAAAGAAAAGAAAACTACATCTAGTAATTGTGTGTACAAGATTATGGAAAACATATGATCGAGCATAATTGATTCACCATTGATCAGAGTCATCAACTTACAAATCAATATGTATGATCTAAAGAAATATAATGCATGGTTCTTGTTAAAGTTAAGCTTTTGTCTATCCTGGAGCTGTATTGTTCCTCCATGCATGCACTGAAAATAAGTTAACAGCTACTCCCTCTGTAACTTAATATAAGACGTTTTTGACAGTGTCAAAAAACGTCTTATATCAGGTTACGGATGGAGTACTATTGTTTGAGTACTTCATATCTTTAATAACTTTTCAATGGAAGCTAGTATATCTTACATTATATTCTTGCAGTAATCTAACATATGATTTCCTTGTAGTTATTGGAGAGACTCTAACATTTGCCTTCCCGTCAAAGCTTCCCTTTCTTTCAAATGGAGAATGGTAATTTTAACTATTTTGGATGCATTACTTTACAAATTTTAGTCAAGTCACCATACGTATCGATAATATTTCCATTCCAGTATCCTGTGTGCTCTTCTTATTAAAATTCTAGAACAAAAATGAATGACCTCCATGTGTCTTATGAGGTCAAAACCCAGTCCTAAACCTCATGATCTACGATAATGGCCCACAAGGCTAGAACCAGTTCAACCAAAC